ATCACTCGCTGGCGGGTTCAGAGATGTCCGTCCCCAGCCAGACACCCTGCATAAGGCTCCTACTCTCACACGTTCATTTTCCTTGGCAAAGGAGATATATCGCACATTCTCGGTGATCTTGGCTTTTTTCTTCAGCTGTTAGGCAGAGAGAACATGGGGTTAGAGCCAACAAAGGATGAGGACCAAGTTCAGAGTTTGGGGAGGTGAGCAGAGGGAGACCCCCCGGGAGAAAGCATGTATTGGGCCATACCTTCAGCAGCACAATGTCATTTATGAAGCCTTTACGGGAATATTTAGGATGGATGACCCATTTTTCAACAGGGATCTTCTGCTGGTTCGGTTCTCGTCTGTTTACATTGTGGGCTCCCAGAATCACAGTGACCCTCACTGTCCTGCCAGGAAACACCAAGACATTGCAGCTGCATTGGCAAGAACAGCCCCCAGGGCAGGTGGCTGGAGGGAGGTGGTGTTGGAGAAACCTCCCCAGAGCAGCTCTCAGCAAGTTGTCCTCTCTCACCTGGGTTCCTTCCAGAGCCCAGCTGAGGATCCCTCACCCCACACTGACACAGCTGGCAGCTGCCCCGTGCTGAGCACAAAGGGAAGCAGGGCAGGGGACACACTGGAGCCCTTCTCCAGCAGCAGCTCTAAGCCATGGCAGGAACCATGACCCTGGAGACCCCTGTGAGCATTCCTGTCCCCAAGGACACTCAGCCCCAACCAGGCAGACAATTCCTGCACTCACAGAGGGGGGCTCAGCTCCAGAGATGCCTGCTCTGCCTGAAGAGACACAGGGTACTGTTTCAGCCTGGATCAGGGCTGAGGCACTCTGGGACTGTGTGAGACTGGAAAAAATCACTTGTGCAAGAACAATGGAGTCTTACCCTTTTTTATCCACACAGTGAGCTGCTGAGAGCACTGCGTCTGGGCGAATCAGGAACCCTCCGCACCTACTAGTCTTTGTCGCATTTTTAATTTTTAAAAAAGCCATGTAGGGTCTGGAGTGGGCCACAGCTTCCCTTCCGCCAATGATCCTTCCTGGAAGAGAGATGGGAAATGTAAATATAAATATAAATATAAATATAAATATAAATATAAATATGCTGCTGTTTCCTCTAAGGTTTGGGACTGCATGAAAGGAAAGGCTCATCCTCTAATGCCAGGTGCCAGTGATCCCAGCAACTCTCCTTCCTGGGGCTGTCCAAAGCATGTCTGGGGCACAATGGAGAGAAAGAAAGCAGCACTGTCTGGGGTCTGACCATCCCTGGCTCTGGATGACTCAAATGCCATCAAGGGCACAGCTCTAGTGCCTCTAATGCCTCACTGGTTTCAGGCACAGGCCGAGATGGGAGATGAGAGGAGAGAGGAAAGCAGGAGAGTAGAGCCAGGAGAGAAGGTGAGGCAGGAGCCTTGCCTGGGATTGACTGCTCAGAGTCCATCTGTGCCCTTGCATGTTCCTGTCTAAGTCCCATCTCTGTGTACTCACCAGCCCCAGCCCAGGGCAGAAGGACAAAAGCGTTTGTGAGCAGAAGGAGCAGCAGCATCTCCCACCACTGTCCTGAAGAGCCAAAGCAGTGGCTGTGGTCAGGCAGGGGACAGGTACAGAATGGCCAGTATAGAACCTCTATATATGTCATGTGCAGCTGACACAGGAAACCTGTGGCCATGTCATTTACTGCTTTGTTCTCCCTGCCCCCAAACTGTGGTTGGTGAGGGGCTCATGAAACATTCTTTGCGGTTTTGTCACAATCTTCTCAAAAAATGGAGAGAACTGGGCTGGTTCAGAGCACCCACAGTGCCCAGGGAGAGGAAAGGTGTGTCTGTTGAGTGCATCTTTCATCAGAGACCTTTGGAGACAGCCTCTGGGACTCTGCATGTGGGCTGATTCTGTCTGGATTTTGTTTTCTTTTTGTTTTTTGTTTCTCCCCGTCCTATGATAGCAATGGGGAGAGCTGGCCAGGGCCAGGGTCAGGCAAAGTTCCTGTTTCTTATCAGAGGGGCTAACTGCCATCAGAGATGTCCTGGTGCAATCAGAAACCACCAGTCAGGGTCACTAAGAGACAAGGCCAGTGGAGCCTCTTGACCTCAGCCCTGGTGTTCTAGGGGATCTGACAAGACCATGGTGATGAGAAAGTCTGAGGTGCAGCTGGGGAGTCATTCTGTGAGCCCAGTCCAGACCAGCAGGTGCCCTGGTGTGCTGGTTGAAGGCAAATTTGGAAGAAAACCTCCACAGGGAACCCCCTCCAGAAACCACACCCACACAGTCCCTTCCCAAAACCAAGTCGGGAAGGATTCCTTGGAGAGAAGTGGAAAGAACCTGTTTATTTAACAGGCAAAGCACCCCCCAGCACACAAAATGAACAATACCAGATAACACCACTCTTTCACCCCTCTGGGAAAGATGACAAATTGAGAAGGTCTCTCTTGGGGCTGGTCACTGTTATCAGTCCCTGGGGTGCTGGGGTAGCTGCTGCAGCCACAAGGTGCAAACTCTCAGTGTTTCCCAGGTCCCAATCCAGAGCAGGTTTGAGTAGGTCCAAAAAAGGGAAAGGAAAACAGTCCAGGGAAAAATCAGACTGCGTAGCTAAAGTAACGAGCAGAAGCAAAAGCAAGAGCAAGAGCAAAGCTAAAGCCAAGAAAAAGCAAGAGTAGCCCTGTGTAATGCCCTGTCTCTGTGTCCTTCTAGCTGTGGGGAAGCAGCTGATAACAAACCCAAAACAAAACTTTCACTCTTCCAAGCCAATCTTGAAGGCACAGAACATAATATCCAGCATAAACAGAACAATGACTGGGGATACAAGCATCATTACATCACCTCAGAAAAAATTTTTTAAAAATGCTGGAGAGGTCTGGGCTGGTTCAGAGCATCAACAATGCACAGGGAGAGGAAAGGGGTGTCTGTTGAGTGCATCTCCCATCAGAGACCTTTGGAGACAGCCCCTGGGACCCTGCATGGGTGGGCTGCTTCTGTCTTGATATTTTTTCATTGTTTTTTGTTTCCCCATGTCCTCTGATAGCAATGGGGAGAGCTGGCCAGGGCCAGGGTCAGGCAAAGTTCCTGTTTCTTATCAGAGGGGCTAAGTGCCATCAGAGATGTCCTTGGGAAATAAGAAACCACCAGTCAGGGTCACTAAGAGACAAGGCCAGTGGAGCCTCATGACCTCAACCCTGGTATTCTAGGGAATCTGACAATTCCTGGTGATGAGGAAGTCTGAGGTGCAGCTGGGGAGTCATTCTGTGAGCCCAGTCCAGACCAGCAGGAGCTCTGAGCAGGTGCAGGGCTGGCTGAGACACAGCTGGAGCTCAGCTGAGGACCAAGATCAGGGTGTCCCATGAGAAGGGAGAAGCCCTTCCTGGGCCCTCTCTGAGTCCTCCCTGGCAGCTCTGGTTAAGTGTTACAGCCTGGAAGGGACTCAGCCCCTGTTTCCATGACCCTCCTTTGGCCATGAGCCCAGCCAGTGAAACCTCCAGGATCTGTGACTTTCCTGTTCCAGGCTATGTTTACATGTGTCCCCCAGACCCCTCCTAGCAATCCAGACAGTCCCATCCCAGGATTCCATCCCCTCTTGCGTTAAAGCCTCTGTTTTTCTCTTTTGCGCACTCTCCCACTGCCCCCTCTTTGAGCCGCGTGGATTCCGCGCTCCACCCGAGCTCTGCCGGCACCCGCATGGGGCAGCTCTTTGCAACCGGCACCGCTCTCTGCCACGAGAAGGAAGAACCCCCACATGGTGATAAGTCCCTTATCTTGGCCTTATCACCGAGGTATGCAGGATAGTCCAGATAACTCTGTCCCTTTGGGAGACAGGGTGCCCGAATACCCAGTCAGCTCGCAGCCGCCGCATGCTGCCCTTAGCAAGCTCAGTGATTGTCAGCTCTTTGGTGATTCTCAGCTCTCTTAGGATTTCAGCTCTTTGCTTGCTTGCTAGGGCGCCTTTGGCTGAGGCAGAAGCAGATGCGAGAGAGGAGAAGGAGAGGTCTTGGCGGTTCCACAGCAATGGTTTATTGTGGAGTCTGCGAAGGGTTCCAGACACAGCTCTTCTTCTGTCAAATGGGCTAAATCAGCCCCTTTTTATAGGATATAGGGGAATCCAAATTTGTCCCATAGTAAAGGTCAGGGAGAAGTGACCTATGAGGTTACAGAGATAAGCTATGGAGCGAGGGGTAGAAAAAGACAGGAGCTTATTTTGCTGTCTCCTCATGACTCAGCAGTTCCTACAGTTAAGTCTCAAGCCTCCATGGAGCTCTCCTAAGCTCCATGGGGTCTCCTACAGTGTGGCATCAGCTGCCCTGGGAGAGATCGCGGCCGTGGGCGCAGCGGTTGCTCCTGCAACGTCAGAGATCGCGGCCGTGGCCGCTGCCAGTGCCCACGAGTGTTGTGTCCCCTGCCTCACTTCGGCGCTGCTCCTGCCACGGGAAAGAACAACTCCTGTGCTGCAATGCAGATTCCACGCGGCGCCGTCCCAACACCACTTCTGCGTGGGAAAGAACTAAAGCAGCTCGAAGAAGCAAGCAAAGAGTCCTTCCTTTTTTCCTTTGAACTCATCCTTCGGTGTTGGGTCCACATTTGTCGGCCACTTCTGGTGGTTTAGGACCCCAGCCAGTGGCTGAACTGTGATCCGGCCTGCTGCAGCAGAGGGAGGGCACGGCCACGCCTGGCACATGTGCCAATGGACCCCGAAAACCAGGACACAATGTCAGTCACCTCCTCATTCTCACACTCAGGGTTTCCATCCAGCTCTCAAAAAGGTGGCAGACACAAGTGACTTTGAACATGCTTTTATTGATGGCCAGAAGCAGAGCTGGAGCAGCAATGGGAGGAAAGGAGCAATGGGAAGCTGGGTGTACTTGGGACTTGCATTTACAGCTTGCCACAGAGACTCTCCTTAGTGCCAAAGCCTGTGGCTGCACCACAGGGGCTTCTCTGACTCCACTTCAGCTGCCCCTGGGAGCTTCTGAGCACCAGCAGGTGTTGGATGCATTGTGGAGAAGGGGCAATGAGCATTTTAGTCAGAGGATGGAGAGCAAGAAATTGACTTGCGTGAAAAACCCTTCAGCTTCTTGCGGATCCAGGGCTCAAAGTGGGAGATCCTGGTGAATACATCAGGAGAGAGACGGCCACCACATCCATGAGAAACAATGCCATGAGCCTTCTCATTGCAGACTAATGGGCCACCAGAATCACCCTGTGCCATGAAAGGAGTGAGAGGGGTCAGACATGCCACAGCTCAGCTCTCCCTGCCTTAAGCAGCAAGTTTCCCCTTCCCTCCCTCCAGGTGAAGAACCTCCTCTTCCAAGCACCTCCCTCCCTCCAGAACCAGCTCTCAGCCTTTGTAGCTGCCTCACTACTCCTCTAATCCCACCCATGAAACAATTCAGGCCTGGAGGCTCTATGAGATTCAAAAACTCTAAAAGAACATTGACATACTTTAGACATGGGGAAATATCTAACCCATCTGAGCAAGTATATCACAAGGAATTTACACACCAAAGCACTGGTTAGGCTGAGTAGAACATCCCCAAGTAAGTAAAAAAGCAAATGTTGCTGATAGTTAGGGAAATGCACCCCAATTCAGGGAGCACATTGGCTTCAGAGCTTCTGTGAGGACCCTCAGCTCATCATTCTGGTGTCCTTTTGCTTTCACCAGGGAACTAAGCTGAATTTCCTGTGCCAGCCTCCTCCCAAGCTTGCAACCCAACACAACACTTACAGGGGCAGCTAATGTTTTACTATCTTCTTCACCAACACAGATCATAGACTGACGCTGGTATTTACTGGAAAGCTCCTCACACATTTCCTCATTTTGCACCTCCAGGTCCACCTCCATCAAGACATCACTCAAGACCTTTTTCTTAGATGTCCAGCCCCAGCCAGACACCGTGCATAAATCTCCTGCTCTCACACATTCGTGGTTCTCGGCAATGGAGATACATTGCACATTCTTAGTGATATTGGCTTTTTCCTTCAGCTGTCAGGCAGAGAGAACACGGGGTTAGAGCCAGCAAAGGATGAGGAGCATGTTGAGAGTTTGGGGAGCTGAGAAGGGGGAGATCCCTCAGGCAGGAAGGATCTGTTGGGCCATACCTTCAGCAGCACAATGTCATTTTTCAAGTCTTTACGGGAATATTCAGGATGGATGACCTTTTTTACAACAGGGATCTTCTGCTGGCTCTGTTCCTGCTTCCTTACATTGTGGGCTCCCAGAATCACAGTGACTTTCACTGTCCTGCCAGGAAACACCAACACATTCCAGCTGCATTGGCAGGAACAGCCCCCAGGGCAGGTGGCTGGAGGGAGGTGGTGTTGGAGAAACCTCCCCAGAGCAGCTCTCAGCAAGTTGTCCTCTCTCACCTGGGTTCCTCCCAGAGCCCAGCTGAGGATCCCTCACCCCACACTGACACAGCTGGCAGCTGCCCCGTGCTGAGCACAAAGGGAAGCAGGGCAGGGGACACACTGGAGCCCTTCCCCAGCAGCAGCTCTAAGCCATGGCAGGAACCATGACCCTGGAGACCCCTGTGAGCATTCCTGTCCCCAAGGACACTCAGCCCCAACCAGGCAGACAATTCCTGCACTCACAGAGGGGAGCTCAGCTCCAGAGATGCCTGCTCTGCCTGAAGAGACACAGGGTACTGTTTCAGCCCAGAGCAGGGCTGAGGCACCCTGGGACTGTGTGAGACTGGAAAAAATCATCTATACAAGAACAATGGAGTCTTACCCTTTCATATCCACACAGTGAGCTGCTGAGAGCACTGCGTCTGGGCGAATCAGGAACCCTCCACACACAGTAGAGTTTGTCTTATTTTTCACTTCTAAATAAGCCATGTAGGGTCTGGAGTGGGCCTCAGCTTCCCTTCCGCCAATGATCCTTCCTGGAAGAGAGATGGGAAATGTTAATATGAATGTTTAATATAAATGTTAATATGCTGCTGTTTCCTGTCAAGTTTGGGGCTGCATGAAAGGAATGGCTCATCCTCTAAAGCCAGGTGCCAGTGATCCCAGCAACTCTCCTTCCTGGGGCTGTACAAAGCATTGCTGGTGCAGAGTGGAGAGAAAGACAAGCAGCACTGTCTGGGGTCTGACCTCCCCGGCCTCTGGATGACTCAAATGCCATCAAGGGCACAGTTCTAGTGCCTCTAATGCCTCACTGGTTTCAGGCACAGGCTGAGATGGGAGATGAGAGGAGAGAAGAGATGAGAGGAAAGCAGGAGAGTAGAGCCAGGAGAGAAGGTGAGGCAGGAGCCTTGCCTGAGATTGACTGCTCAGAGTCCATTTGTGCCCTAGCACGTTCCTGTCTAAATCCCATCTCTGTGTACTCACCAGCCCCAGCCCAGGGCAGAAGGACAAAAGCGTTTGTGAGCAGAAGGAGCAGCAGCATCTCCCACCACTGTCCTGAAGAGCCAAAGCAGTGGCTGTGGCCCGGCAGGGAAGAGGTACAGAATGGCCAGTACAGAACCTCTATATATGTCATGGTGAGCTGACACAGGAAACCTCAGCCTGCCTGTAGCTGTGTCATTTACTACTTCTGTTCTCACACCCCCCAAACTGGGAGGGGGTGAGGGGCTCATGAAACATTCCCTGCGGTTTTGTCACGATCTTCTCAAAACGATGGAGAGATCTGAGCTGGTTCAGAGCACCCACAGAGCTCACAGGAAGAGGAAAGGGGTGTCTGTTGAGTGCATGTCCCATCAGAGACCTTTGGAGAGAGCCCCTGGGATCCTGCATGCAGGGTTCATCCACCAGGATTTTGTTTTCTTTTTGTTTTTTGTTTCCCCCGCATTCTCTGATAGCAATGGGATGAGCTGGCCAGGGACAGGCAAAGTTCCTGTTTTTTATCAGAGGGGCTGACTGCCATCAGAGATGTCCTTGGGAAATCAGAAATCACGAATCAGCGTCACCAAGGGACAAGGCCAGTGGGACCCTCTTGACCTCAGCCCTGGTGTTCTGGGGAATCTGACAAGTCCATGGTGATGAGGAAGTCTGAGGTGCAGCTGGGGAGTCATTCTGTGAGCCCAGTCCAGACCAGCAGGTGCCCTGGGCAGGGGCAGTGTGGTATTTTCAGGGTACCCCCTCGTGGGGAGGAAAGGATGAATCTGACTCCGTGTTCTCAGAAGGCTCATCTATTATTTTATATTATACATTAAATTAAAGAATGCTGACTAAAACTTTACTAAAGAATAAAGAAAGGATACTTACAAAACGTTTAACAAGATATTAATGAAAAACTCATGACTCTCTTTTCAGTGGCTGACACAGCCTGACTGTTATTGGTCACTAAGTCAAAACAATTCACGTGTTGGATAAACAATCTCCAACCACATTCCAAAGCAGCAAAACACAGGAGAATCAAATAAGATAATAGTGCTTTCCTTTTTCTCTGAGGCTTCTCAGCTTCCCAGGAGAAGAAATCCTGGCAAAGGGATTTTTCCAGAAAATATGATGGTGACATTTCACCCTTTTTGTGTAATTAAACTACAAAGAGACTGTGTTTGTAATTCTTCTCCTGGGCCCTTGCATAAGATAGAATAAACACATTTCAAGAGGTTTATCCATTGGCAATCAAAACCTCAATCAATTGCTGATGTGGAATGATCAAGGAGATTCTTTACCTGTAGAAAATCATCTTCTATCATATCACTAAAACAAAGCTTACAATACAGAAAATGCAAAAGACAATGAAAGAATTGTTCATTGTTTTAAGTCCAAACAGCTGAGTTTCAGGAGAAAGTCCATTGGCTGGAGATGTTGGTCTTTGACATCCCTGAAAGGTCCTTTTGATCATGAAACAGACTTGCAGAATCCTGAAACAAAGAACAGCTAAAGAAAATCAACAATTATTAAAAATCCATTGATAAAAATCCATTGATAATTATCAACCACTATTGAGAAAATTTCTGGAATGCCGTGGCCACAGCCCTTAATTGAACCACTTGGGCTGAGGCTGACTCATGGCTTTGAATACTTTGAGCTGATAGCTCTTTCCACCTTTTTTTTTTTTTTTTTTTTTTAATGTAGAATCATCAGCACCAGCAGAGGGTTTTACGACCCTGTGGGGGCCCCAGTCCTGTTGGATGGACCAGGCAGCCCAGACCCGGCCCACAGAACGGTGGCCCAGGTTCGGTTAGGGGGCTCAAAGCCCCCAAACGCAGCAGCGGGTGGGATGGAGGCCCCAGCCCAGAGAAACGACCCAAACAGCCCAGACCCGGCCTGCAGGGTGGGATCTCTGTTCTCACAGCCCATCCCCACAATGCTGCCAGTGCCTTGGCAGCAGTGACCGAACACCTCCTCCCCACAGAACCACTGGTGCACGCCGGCGGCAGGGAAGGAGAAGTTTTCCTGGGGATCTCCATCCCTGATCTGGGGGTCATCTTTCCCCAGAACAAGAGAACAACGCTCGCTTTTCGCTGTTTCTCTCGCCCCTGTGGTGCAAACAGCACTGTTCCTGCTTTCTGCCCCTCAGCACCGCCTCCATCCCGTCAGGGCTTGGGGTCAGAGGCAGAGCCCCATGGAGCCACCTCCCTCACACCACTGTTGTTCATGCGGGGAGTAAGGCATTCTAAGCCTCAGCGAGAAGACCCCGACCAAAGACAAATCGGTCCACGAAAAACGCTGTGTCCCAGAAAAACACTGAGTTTGAAAGTTTTCAGCAATCAGCTGTCGAGCTGTGCAGCCTCCACTGAGGGACAGGCTGGTCGCAGGGTCCGACGCAGAGACTGACATGGAAGACAGAGTCCCTGAAGGCGGTGGGACCGCCGGGGGTGGTGGAGCTGCTTCCCCTGCTAGGACTGATGCAGAGAGAGCGGCCACTGCACACATGGAGGCGGTGGCCACGTCTTCTCCTGCTTGTGGGAGCATCAGTGCAGGCACAATTTGTCACACGGCTGAAGCATTGCTTAGCAACACACCAGAATCTGTGAGGGGCGGCAGGGCCGCGGGCAGGGCCTGCAGGCGGCTCCGGAGACGGTGGAAGCGGCAGGGCAGGCGGCGCAGCAGTCAGCGGGGCCTGAGGGGCTGGCGGGGTAGACGCTGCGGGAGCTGGAGCGGTGGGTGTCAGTCTCAGCCCTGGGAGGGGTAAAGGAGGTGGCAGAATCGGTGCAGGGTTGGTCCCCACTATCGCCACCAGCACTGTTGTCATGAATGCAATTCCCGGCTGCGATGCACAGGGACTGGGCATGCTGTGCAGCGAGGGGCTGCCGGCCGCCTCTCTCAGTGAGGGTGGGAGCGGGTCCGCACCCTCCCAGAGTACGGGGCACGGGGAATTCCACAGCAGATCTGGCCATGGATCTCCCTCCGCGGCCGCTGGGGCATCCTCAGGCGGGCAGACAGCAGCGGGGGCACGGCCCCTCTCTGAGACAGGCTGCCATCACTCACTGCTGCTGTCGATCGCCTTGCCCGGCAGCCTGGGCAAAACAGCGAGAGACGATGCTGCCGCCGGATGCACATGATCCACAGAAGCAGAAAAAAACTTCTCAGCTGTGGGCAAAGCCTCACCCACCTGGGATGCAGGGGAGGGTGGGAACCAGGAGTTTCTGTCCTTGGATGGATCCTTCACCTGCTGGCTCTGGTGGGGGGGTATTAACTCCCCACATGAGGCAAGGTACCCCACCAAATGGGCTCTTTGCCTCAGAACTGAGAAAAGCGCTGTAAACGCTGGATGAATTCGGGGCAGCCCACAGCCCCAATCATATTTCTCCCAGAAATAGGGATCCATGGACTGCCAGACCTGTATGTCCAAGGAGCATGTCAGACCAATAAAAATACCATGAAACTTTGCCCATCTGATAAACTGATAGAAATGTCTCTTCACCATATGAAGAGGCAATCAGGGACTGGGACCTGTCCTGCATGCCCCACCAATGCTCAGGTTCTCCCAGAGTGTCATCTAGTCATTCTCACACTCAGGGTTTCCATCCAGCTCCCAAGAAGGCTACAGACACAAGTGATTTTGAACATGCTTTTATTGATGGCCAGAAGCAGAGCTGGAGCAGCAATGGGAGGAAAGGAACAATGGGAAGCTGGGTGTACTTGGGACTTGCATTTACAGCTTGCCAGGAGACTCTCCTTAGTGCCAAAGCCTGTGTCTGCACCACAGCGGCTTCTCTGACTCCACTTCAGCTGCCCCTGGGAGCTTCTGAGCACCAGCAGGTGTTGGATCCATCGTGGAGAAGGGGCAATGAGCATTTTAGTCAGAGGAGGGAGAGCCAGGAATATCTTGGATTGCAAACCTCCTCAGCTGCTTACGGATCCATGGCTCAAAGTACGAGATCCTGGTGAATGCCTTAGGGAAGAGGGGGTCATCATATCCACGAGAAACAATGCCATAAGCCTTGTTCTTGCAGACTAATGGGCCACCAGAATCACCCTGTGCCATGAAAGGAGTGAGAGGGGTCAGACATGCCACAGCTCAGCTCTCCCTGCCTTAAGCAGCAAGTTTCCTCTTCCCTCCCTCCAGGTGAAGAACCTCCTCTTCCAAGCACCTCCCTCCCTCCAGAGCCAGCTCTCAGTGTTTGTAGCTGCCTCACTACTCCTCTAAGCCCACCCATGAAACAATTCAGGCCTGGAGGCTCTCTGAGATTGAAAAACTCAAAAGAAGAACATTGACCTACTTTAGACATGGGGAAATATCTAAGCCATCTGAGCAAAGATATAACAAGGAATTTACACACCAAAGCACTGGTTAGGCTGGGTAAAACATCCCCAAGTAAGTAAAAAAGCAAATGTTGCAAATAGTTAGGAAAATGCACCCCAGTTCAGGGACCACATCGGCTTCAGATCTTCTATGAGGACCCTCAGCTCATCATTCTGAAGGTCCTGGTTCATTCTGGTTTCCTTTGGCTTTCACCTAAGAACTAACCTGAATTTCCAGTCACAACCTCCTCCCAAGCTTGCAGTCCAAAACAACACTTACCTTGTAAGTTGCTTTTTTACGGTTTTCATCACCAACACAGATCATAGACTGAGGCTGGAAGTATTTGGAAAACTTCTGACAGATTTTCTCCTTCTGCACCTTCAATTCCACCTCCCTCAAGACATCACTCGCTGGCGGGTTCAGAGATGTCCGTCCCCAGCCAGACACCCTGCATAAGGCTCCTACTCTCACATGTTCATTTTCCTTGGCAAAGGAGATATATTGCACATTCTCGGTGATCTTGGCTTTTTTCTTCAGCTGTCAGGCAGAGAGAACATGGGGTTAGAGCCAACAAAGGATGAGGACCAAGTTCAGAGTTTGGGGAGGTGAGCAGGGGGAGACCCCCCGGGAGAAAGCATGTGTTGGGCCATACCTTCAGCAGCACAATGTCATTTATGAAGCCTTTACGGGAATATTTAGGATGGATGACCCATTTTTCAACAGGGATCTTCTGCTGGCTCGGTTCTCGT